GGCGCCCTGAGCGGAGCCGCGTCTGGACCTCAGCAGCAAAGAGGCTGAGAAGCAGCAGAGTGCAGCAACAAGCCTCCTGACAAGTTGGGGGCATCCCTGAGCAGGTTTAGGGCCTGTGCCAGGTCTGCCCCTCTGTGCCTGGATCCTGCCCTACCGGGGACTTGCCTCTTCCAACAGTTCTTCACACAGCAGGTGGCCTCTGACCTCCACCCTAGCCCCTGGAGAAGGATGAACACCTTTCTGAAGACCCTGGGCGCCATCCAAGTGGGAGCTAAGGTCGTGGGCTACAATCCCACAGGCCGCCTACACAAAGCTGCCAGGGATGGCAACTTGGAGGAAGTGAGGCATCTCCTTGTTCAAGGGAGCTGTCATGTCAATGACACAGATAAGAAAAACAGGTAATAGAGTCCAAGAGGCCGGCAGCCCCTGGTGCAAGGGACCTCATGGGGGAGGCAGAGCCCATGGAGAAAAAGCCAGCGTCATCCAGGCCATTCCCTGGAGGATAGGGCAGAAAGGTGGCCTTGTTTTACCTGGATGCTTGGCTTTAACAACCTCAGGGACTCCTTAGCACCTAGTACCATAGACCTTGGGGCAGTCTGACGCCCAGGCCCTCTTGTTAAGCAGCTACACGGAAAAAAAGAAAAAAAGAAAGAAAAAATTAGCCGGTTTCCCTGGTGCGGACATATCCCCTCAGGAGGCTGGCCAGCCAGCACTGCAGAGCTGCTCACCAAGGGGACAGAGCACAGTGGGCGCCAGAACCTCATTAAGGGGGCTGAGAAGCGGCGGGAGGGGCCGGCAGGGGGCGGGATCATGCTTCCTGACACATTGGGGGCATCCCAAAGCTGGGCAGTGTCTGGGCTAGGAGCTTTGCTGGGTCCACCCCTCTTTCCCTGGGTCCTGCCCTAGCGGGGACGTGCATTCTGTTCTAGCCGCCTAGGAGAAAGAGCCAGGGAAGACATGGAAGGGTCAGCGAGAAGGAGCATCTGCCTGAGGCTGGAGGCAGCTGACCTGTGTCTTCACCCAGCCTGGGCCTATGCCACCTTAGCCCTACCTCTAGCCCTAACCCTAATCCTAACCCTAACCCTAATATTATGTCTCACTAAGAAGAATCAATAAAAAATAGAAAAAAATAAAAAGTATATTATAGTCCAGGTGGGAAAGTTCATTATATAAAAAAATCACTCATAATATAATTACACCACTATTCTTTATTGCTGTATACTTATGTTTACATTTTGTCTAATCTGCAGCCTTGTAAGGGTCTTTGATGTGGGCAGATGATTCTTTGTTCTCTGTTCTGATTTTAGGTTTGCAGTTGTTTTTTACATTAGCTTTCTTAGGGTTGCCACTTCTACTCCTCTTTATGTATTTCTTGCTTCTCATATGCTTTACTTACTAGTTCATGTGTTCTCAGTGTCTCTTGACCAATCAACCATTTTCTTAACAAGATTATTGAGAACCCCTGTTGTTGTTTTTTTCTGCAAGTGCTAAGTTAACTTTAATGAATTCTGAGACAGTAGAATAGAAGTCATGCATGGGAGCATTCACATTCTCCAAAGCACATTGTGGGTTTTCAATCTTGTCACCCCTTCACGCTGATCACACTAAGGAAAATTCACTAAATGCTTTAAATGCAAATCTGCAGATTTATGCTGTCCAGGTATCATTTTCTGTAGTTACCCATCCTTGTTCTTTTGTTTATTTAGGCACAGAGATCAGAACATCTGTTCACTGCATCCAATGGTACAGGCTCTCAGTCACCAGGGTCAAGATGACTGCAGGCAGGGTATGCACAGGCTGCACAGACTGTAAGCTGCTGCCCTAGTGCCCCTTCTCTAGCTTGTTCTCAGGACACTTGGAATAGCCAGAGCCTGAACCCTGGTGTGGTGTATTTTAAGAGAAATATTTATTATTACCAAAGTCTGAGCTCTTTCTATGGTTAACAGTTTCAAATAACCAAATAAAAATGTCAGACCTTAATCATTTTTGAGTTCTACATACAAACATTTAGGATAATTATGACACTAAGAAAGTGTTTGTAGTAAAGACTTGCCCGTCTGTGTACCAAATTCCCCATCAACTGTCACATATTGTTTGCCAACAGACAAAAGGCAGATAAATGAGTAGAACAGAATAAAACAAGAAACACCCAAATATCTGAAAAAGTTTAGAATGTGCTACTGATGAATATCATATTCGTAGAAAAATAATTATGTGTCAATGAAATGTGTAATAATTGTTTGTAGAAAACTAGCTGGATTTTTATGTCACAAAAATAATTCCCTGATACAATATGGATTATTAATTTTAAATAATGCAAAATGAGAAAAATATTAGAAGAAAACACAAATCCTTCTGTATACATTTTATGTGGACAAAGTTATTAGAAAGAATGAACTGAAAAACAAGGCTTCCTTTTGTTCTTTTTCTCTTTTAGGTTTTAATTTTGTTCCTGGGGTTTGATCCCATTACCTTGAGCTTTCTATTTGAGTGCTCTGCCATTAAGCTGTATTCCAGAGCCCCTGAACCTTATAATTTAAATTAGGGAAAGTACTTTTTTTTCAGATGCACAAGTGACCTGTGTATATAGGAAAAAGGACTTTGTGTCCCTGGTAAGAGAAGGAATTTAAGTTTAATGATAAATGAAATACAGTTTTTAGCTACAATACTTGTGAGGATGAAGAGTAGTGGTACTTATGTTGCTGCTTAAGGTTTGAGTTCCTTATGAATTCTAAAATAAATGATAGTATTGTACATTTTAATAATGTTTATTTCTGTACATATCAATTTCTTTATACTATATTTAGGATATTATAAAATATGCATGACTTAATATAGCAGTGTGTTAGAAAGGACTCATAGAATTGATTGTAGTAAGAAAATGCAGTGCATTCCTAGCATGAAATATTATGTAACCATTAGAGGTGACAAAGATATAAATGTATGTTGACCTGGGAAGATGTCTTTTTGAATATCAAGTGAAAACGAAGCTTGATAGTACATACACACAAATAGATTGTGGTCTTGTGTTAGGCACAAATATATAAAAAAAATGTAGTAAAATTTAAACACTGAGCCATTATTTTCAGCATTTAAATTATGAGTAAAGATTTCTTTTCCTCTTTTGTTTAATGTTTATTTTATTTCCAATATTTGGCAATTCCTCCTTATCTTTCTGTTTGTTTCTACCTTAGTTTCATTGACAGCAGTTAATATGCTCTGTAGTAATGCAGTATTTTGACATTTTCTGTGTTCTGCTTTTTTTCAACTTCCATGTGGGTAGTTTTGGAAAAATTCCACATTGGCTTCTACTTTTCCTTTTCCTTACCTGTTATTTATAAAATGCATATGTGTAAAAGTTTTAATGAGAACTACTTGTTAATAAAATAATCTTTGGGAGGAGCAGGGAGACGAATCTTGTTTCTGTAGATTGTTATCTTTAGCCAACTTTTAGCCTCTTCAGAAGAAAAGGTAATCTTTTCATCTGTGCTTGTAGATATTAGTGCCTATACATTTCCTATACATGTATGTTTCATTCCATACAGATTTATTTCATAAATGCAATTGTAGGTTTATTGTTTTGTTTTAGTTACATTCTTAAGAAAGTAAAAGAAAGCAAATATAAATATTGTTGAAAGTATTGCTTTAATTTATAAAACTTTTATTTAAAAATGCTGAACTCCCCACCAGGTGCCTTTGTGTAAATCTGTAATCCCAGAAATATGTGAGGCTGAGGTAGAAGGATCTCAAGTTCAAAGCCAGTCTCAGCAATTTAGAGAGGCCCTTAGCAACTTAGGGAGACACTGTCTCAAAATAAAAAATAAAAAAGACTGTGGCTGTTGCTCAGTGTTTAAGTGCCCCTGGATTCAATTCCCAGTAGAGAACGACAAACAAACAAGCAAAAAAACACCACACACTGAACTCCCCAAGTATACTTTATCTGTTCTTTCATTTCATTTACTCACCACTCATATCCTAAATACCTATTCTATATTTGACATATTTTACTATTTCTGAGGTCCTCCTTTCTTAAAAACTTCATGTTTCCCTGACTGGAGATTTAAAACTGAACTAATAGAACTCAATTTGAAGTGAAGAATTTCCTCAGGCTTTTCAAACAAAAGCACTTCTGGAGATAAGAGTTTGTAAACTGCCCATTTGAAAAGTTAAGATCACATTAATACTGATATTAAGTATTGGATATATTCAATTTACTTAAGTGCTACAAATCTAAATACTGAACAATGTGAAACATACTAATTCTTTTGAATCATACATTTCCGTTGGCTTTATGTTTCTTGAAAAAAAAAAAGCAAGAATAACTTTGCTTTAAATTTGGCCTATTGATGTTTTCTTATTCAACCGTCTTTATCTATACTACTTTTTGTAACTAAAACTTATTGAAATGTCACTCATATGACTAGAACTTCCATTGATCAATTGTGTTATCACATTTCACTTAAGGTAAGGCACCATGGATGGGTGATGGGCCTTTCTTTTATGTGTAAATAAACATTTTAAACATTGAAATACTTAGTCCTTAAAATACATCTGAAAAATTATTAACAATACACAACCAAAATCAAGATTCACTGGTGTCAGAAGCAATGGTGCATACTTGTAATCTCAGTCGGTGATTGAGAGGGAAGGTGAGGCAGAAAAATTGCAAGTTCAAGATGAGCCTGGGCAACTTAGTGAGACCATGGCAGAAAGTGAAAAATTAAAAGGGCTCTGGATATGGCTCAGTGTTGAGTGCCCTTCAGTTTAATCCTCAGCCGGGGGGGATGGTGGGGGAGGAAAGAAGTCAGTGGAACAGGCAGCTAGAATGAGCTACTCTTTCATTAATTTAGTAATAACAGCTAATAAAGATTGTTGTTTCTTCTGAAGAAATTGTTTTGAAGGGAGAGGAATTATATGCTATCTAATGTTTGCAGTTGAATGAATAATTGTCTGATTTAAGTGGGAGCTCTATGACCTCCTAACAAATCTTACTTTTGTAGGACTCCTCTACATTACGCATGTGCCTATGGCCAGGCAGAAGTGGTGGCTTTTCTAGTAAAGAACAAATGCGACATTAACCTCTGTGACAGTGACAACAACACACCTCTGATTAAGGTAGATGTAGCAAAGTATTTCTGTGAAGGATGAACTATATTTACATACTTAGAGGAAAAATTGATTACTATCATTTAAATATAACTAATTAGTAAATCCCATGGAATGTTTGTGTTGAATTCTTGAAATTGACAATCTATTTCTTGGTACCAACCCAACAGGCCATCCAACAGCAAGAAGAAGAATGTGCAACTATTCTTCTAGAAAATGGTGCAGATGTAAATGTTCAGGATCCCAATGGTGGAACTCCTCTCCACTATGCTATCTGTACTAACAACACATCAGTGGTAGCAAAACTGCTTTTACATAATGCAAATATTGAAGCTCAAAACAAGGTAAACATCCCCCACCTTTATTTCCAAAATATTTGAAATACATTTATTTTGACAGTGACATAAGTCAACAGATGTTGTTTATAAGCAGGGTTTTCTTGATTAGAAGAGTAGCAAATGTTGGAACTTTTTTATCTTATGGATATATTTACTTAATATAAGTGTACATAAATTGACTCCACATTTAAAATTCAGGAGACTTGTGTGGAAATATGGAGTTCAAGCTTCTCTTGAAGAACCATGTGGAGTCTCCTTTGAACCCATGTTACCATGTGGTATGCTGTGCTCAGGGTGCCCCTTTCATACTTGGCATGGGTGTTCTCCAGATTGTGCTGGATAGCTACAGCATTCATTCACTCAGAATCCCATACTTTGCCCTATAAGAAGTTTTATAACTCCTGTTTTATACTTTATTTAAAATTTAATGGTTTCATGATAGTTTATATTAATTTATAAGATCATGGCTTATGGAATATATTAATCTCTTTGAAATGGAATTGAATTTTAGAATTTATAAATTTATGTTTTTCAAACCTTTTACTTATATGTACGACATAAATTATATTCCCATTAGAGTTTCTATAAGCTTCATTAGGCTACTCATAGTTAGGTGGAGAGCATACACATTGTGCAAGCAGTATTATATCTTTGTCCTCAGCTTTGTCTCTTTAGTCTTTTATGATGCTAAAAATAGTTCATGTAGATCAGTATAAAACTTTTGTTGATACACAAAATTTCTGAATTCTAGTTTGTCTAAAATTATAAATATCTTTAAGCAGCAATTCAAATGGAACCAGAATAAAAAAGAATTTGGTAAAGTGGATGTGCATTATGGTCCCAGGATGATTATTATGAATACATTTTGTATTAACTTTCTAAAATGTAAGATTAATATCTTTCATCTTATAATAGGAGAAAACGCAGGTACCAAATGACTCAAAGTTCATTTGAAGCCTCTCTCTTTTTTATTGGATTATTTATGTATTCTAATTTGCTGTATATGACAGAGGAATGCAAATCATTTCATATTACACATATAGAGCACATTTTTTTCAAAGTCTCTGGTTGTATACAAAGTATTTTCACACCATTTGTGTCTTCATACGTGTACTTAGGGTAATGATGTCTAACTCATTCCACTGTCTTTCCTGCACCCATGCCCCCTCCCATCCCCTCCTTCCCCTTTGTAAAGTTTCTCCATTCCTTCCATGTTCCCCCCACCATCACCATTATGAGTCAGCATCCTCATATCAAAGAAAACATTCAGCCTTTGTTTTTGGGGGGCTTGGCTCACTTCACTTAGCATTATATTCTCTAACTCCATCCATTTTTGCAAATGCCATGATTTTATTCTCTTTTAATGCTGAGTAATATTCCATTATGTATACATTCCAAAGTATCTCTATTCATTCATCTACTGAAGGACATCTGAATTGGTTCTACAATTTAGCTATTGTGAATTATGCTGCTATAAGCACTGATGTGGTTGCATCACTGTAGGATGCTGTTTTTAAATCCTTCGGGTATAAACCGAGGAGTGGGATAGCTGGATCAAATGGTGTTTCCACTCCAAGTTTTCCAAGGAATCTCCATACTGCTTTCCAGATTAGCTACACCAATTTACAGTCCCTCCAGCAACATATGAGTGTGCCTTTTCCCCCACATGCTCACCAACACTTATTGTTGTTTGTATTCTTGATAGCTGCCATTCTGACTGGAGTGAGATGAAATCTTAGAGTAGTTCTGATTTGCATTTCTCTAATTGCTGGAGTTGTGGAACATTTTTTTATATATTTGTTGATTGATTATATATCCTCTTCTGAGAAGTATCTGTTCAGTTCCTTGGCCCATTTATTGATTGGGTTATTTGTTGTTGGTTTTTTTTTTTTTTTTTGGTGTTGAGGTTTTTGAGTGCTTTATATATCGTATAGATTAGTGCTGTATCTGATATGCTTGTGGTGAAGATTTGTTCCTATTCTGTAGGTTCTCTGTTCACTTCACTGTTTCTCTTGCTGAGAAGAAAACTTTTAGTTTGATTCCATTGTATTTATTGATTCTTGGTTTTAATTATTGTGTATAGGAGTCTTAATTAGGAAGTTGGGGCCAAATCCGAGATGATGGAGATTTGGGCCTACTTTTTAGAAGCCTCTCTCTCTTAACTCAAGAGTGCATTTTCCTAGTGGAACGGGAGTGCCTTATATTGTTGTCTAAGATCTTGAACTATATAGAGGAGATTGAACAGGATTTGTGTTGCATGGAGAACCTCCCATGTTATTGGATAACTCTTAGAACTGTATCCCTATAACTCGAATTCTTCATAAGTGAATGTCTGCTATGAAAAAGTGTTGTCAAATTAGTGTTAGCAATGGTACACAGATGTCCTTACTAATGGATGCATAATGCACAATTCTGTGGTATTTCTCTAATAGTGAATCAGTGAAATTTTTTGATGAATCTTGGTACTTCTGTAAAACTGGAAATTCTTTGGAATATTGATTGATAAAGCCAGCTCTAGAGATAAAAGTTTAGCCCATTTATTCAATAGGATACTTAAGCCCTTTTACTACTTTGCTTCGGGTATGGGGTCATAGAGAAAAAAGATATATACCCTGTCCTC